GCGCGGCCAGAGCGACCAGACTTGTCAGAGTGAGCAGGCTGATCAGCCTGGCCAGAGCCACTACAGAAGCTCTCCGTACATTTGGATAGATCTCCACAGTTGGCTGAATACTCACAGCAGACCTTGGATTCGTCGTCCTGAATACTCACAGCAGACCTTGGATTCGTCGTACCTGAATACTCACAGCCTAAAACCCTAAAAGCGATACGCACAATATGCACAACCCCCTCCTTCTCTACCTGAATACGCCCTTTTCGACTCTGCACATTAGAAATGTGCATCACATCCCGCGCATTACGGAGAGGAGCATACAGACCATGTATAGTACAATAGATGATTACTGTAGTGGTTACTTTAGTATTATGTATGGTAAAAAATAGTAAAGGGCTGATCAGTTTATTTATTGCTATTCATTCCTGCTAGGATGCAAAAGATCATTACGCATCACAGACACAACTTTTTCTTTTTCACTAGCGCTACAAATGCAGGCGTAACAGGGCTGAGCATCGGTTTAGAATACAGTGAGACCATGGTAGCATTTGCCCTATTAAGAGCGTCATTAGCCATATGCGCGCTGTCTTGTTCTTCGATAAAGTACTTTGGTTCTTTCGTCGGGTCCCAATTGATCAGGCAAGTGTCTTCGTGAGTATCTCTGTGCGGAGCAATTGGAACCAAATGCAATAAGAATCTAGGCTTGATAGCAAACGGCATCCTGCATTGTGTCAGCATCTCCTCGAGCAGTCTATATTCCAAAGTGTCGTTAAGAGGCATTGGCATGTCAATGTCGTCGTCGTTTTTTTGAAGGGAGTAACTTCATTTTGGTTATATAAAAAAACCCCCCATTGTTCGTGTCCAAACGCCTTTTTGCCTTAAAAAGTATCCAAATTCCGATTTACCTTATTTTTTTTTCAGTGCAGGGACTCACAAACTTTCTTAAAACAATTCTATTGAAAAAGGAGTAGAGGAACTCAGACGAAATTTCTTAAAATAAATGGTATTGAAAAAGATGAAGAGGTACTCAGACTTGTTTTCTTAAAATTTATGTTAAGGAGCAGAGGTACTCAGATAAATTTTCTTAAAATATACTTATTTAACCATTGAGTAAAGGCTCGGAAGAATTTCCCCCTACCGGCGCGAAGCGCCATTCAAGAGGACAAGGGTGAGAGACTCGCGTCGAAACATATTTTTGAAAAAACAATATTAAAATTATCCTGTCGATTAATAGGATTAGATAATAGGAACTTTGAAAACCTGGAAAATTTGTATTTTGTACCTTGTATTGTATATACAAAATACCGCGAGCGAGAGCCCCCGGTAGGGGTCAAATCCTGTCAACAGTACAGACGCACAAAAAAACAGAGCAAAATGCCCCCGGGGCACTCTCAGGTGCCCCATTTCTGGACTGGGGCACTTCTTTTCACACTTTTTTTTAAAACGTTTCTATTGGTGTAGGGACACAGAATAATTTATTTTTAGACGATCATTCGGCCCTGTTTCTTAGACCTAGTACTGGACTAAAAAAAATATTGAATTTTTAAAACGGATATTACATCTGTGATTTGGTGTTCATGCATTTTTACACATAGCGTAGAAGTTGAACGTTTGAATTTCTAATTGTGATTTCCGATGCTGAAATGGAGGCCAGGATTGCTGCATCAATGCCTGTTGAGTAATATGTTTCTAATTTGTTACGAGTATGATACTGACATGTTGCTGCGTGTCGTTAGTCGTCACATGTGTCTGACTTAAAGGAAGCAAATCGATGAAATAAACCGTTACAAATATATTCAATACATTCACGTACCATAGTCCATGATAGACATTAAACTGAGCTCAGGACAGATGCTTCTGGTTATGAAAGTATTAACTTTCGTTGCATTTGCGATTATGACAGCTGCGATTATTTCGTACTGTCAGCGATCCAGGCATAAGCAGATTTGTGCTGATTTGTCTAGGGTGAATGAATATTGTGATGTGTTGCAAAAAGCGATAGCTGACTTCGCGATAGTGCTACAAAAGTGTTGAACAGCGACAAATTTCAATGGATCAGGTGATTCAAAATATTAACAAAGAATCAACGCGGACGTCGCAGTCCATTAAAGTATTCAGTCGGTCACCTTCAATGTGTCCTGCGTCGCATGGCAAGCCAATCGTTGGCTACTGAGCAATATTCATCGAGGTAACCGAGTCCATACACTGGGAGAACTTTAACATAACAGAGTCCGCTTTTAGACTCTGCATGTGAGCTTTGGTATTGGGTTGAAGTACAATAAATTCAATGGGTTTCTTGCTTCCTTGTTGGATTGTAAATTTATAAACCATTCTCGGGAAATTTTTACATGTATATCTTCGACGAGGGAGCATCTAGAATGTACTACGTATTGTACTCAAGGTCGCAAGCTTGAAGGGGTGTGGCTTAGACGCTACCCTGACTATTATAGCTACATAATAGTGAAAGTACGTATGTATGACGATGACGGTTCAATTGCAATTTGCAAAGTTCTAGAATCTAGACTCTAGAACCTAGAGTCTAGACTTGTACTGAACAGTCTGAAAAGTGACAACCGACGGTCGTCAACGATTGGGCGGGTGAGTGATTCAGGTCCCAAACATTGTGAAAAGGTGCATCTAGTCAAGTCGAAAAATCAAATTATTTCAGGCCAAATTATATACAGTAAACGTACCAACGTTTATAAATCAATAAGTAAAAGTAAAACGTTATACTTCTATATCTACATTGCCTTACTTATTAAAGAGGTTAGGCGCGGGCTCTTGCTGTGAGTGTGGGCCCAGAGTGTGGTGCTAGACTATGGCGAGTGGCGACGCCTAAATAATATTTATATAAATATATAAATATTATTTTCTGTTTTGTTTTGTTTTGTTTTGTTTCGTTTTGTTTTGTTTTGTTTTTTGTTTTTGTTTTGTTTTTTTTTGTGTTAAAAAAACAGACAAACGAAACAAAAACAAAAAACAATAATATTTTTTTTTACAAATAGAAAAAAAAAAGCAAACCCCCCTCACGGGCCTCACCCCAATATTTAAAATAAATAAAAATCTTAATATATGTAAATAAATATCTCACAGGCTCATAGGCTCACCCCTGTGGCCTGTGGGCCCTGACCCCACTTAATACCGCCCACGGGCCGGTACTAAAATAGAAAATATTTTTGTAAATAAATAAATACCCCAGTCCCCACCAGTGTCAGTCATCAGTGACTACATCACTCATCCCCCGTCAACTGTCTAGGCGTCAACGCATATTGATACCCGTGTACTTAGTCTTTTATTTATATTCTTTGGCCTGAGATTTGAACTTTTCACGCTGTTAAATACACACCGGGGTCTTCTTTCATCTTTGTTTTTAGATTTGTTATGTTACATTAATTGTCTAATAATAATAAAAATACAAACGGAGCTTCATTCCCTCAGAGCTCACAGCCTCAGGCAATGAAAGAAGAACCAAAACGTGTGTGTGTACAATTCCCAACAATGGTCCGTACATTTGCAACGAAGATCTCCTTTGTAAGCCAGTTAACGACGAATCTCATCCATTTCTGTCCAAAATACATGCGCAGGAAATTGACGACACCAACTTCGACTCAGGGACGATGATTAGCAGTATAAAAGCCTGGATATTGTAGATCAGTTCATCCAGAAGCAACAACAGAAAAATCAACAATAAGGCAAAATTATAGACAATATGAAATTCACTACCATCTTCACCATCGCAGCCGTTGCTGTCGCAGTTAACGCCAGAGCTTATAATCAGCAGATCACATGTGCTGCAAAGGGATTCACTGGGAAGTCATACGACG